TTCTGTTTATCGCAACAAGCCCTCTGATGGAGATCGGAGGAGAGTCCTGAAAATTTTCTAGCTCCAGGAGACTGCTGGGTTTTTTGGACAGAACAGCCAGTCTGACTGAGAAGAAGCACATTCCCACACCAGGCAAACACAACAGTCAGGATGAAAGGATCACCAGAGGGTCTGCCCATGCTTCATCCCAGACCATGACCGGGGAGGAAGATATGCCTTTCAAAAGCCAAGCCTGGAGGCATATCCTCTCTCCTGCCCCATCTCGCTGCATTCCCCAGAGACCCAAATTCTCACGGTGCCTTGCTGGCCTGGGGGCCTCCTACCAATCCCCTCACTGTGCCTCCTCTGTCCTTTTGCTCTTCACCCAGCTATCTTCCAGCAGCTCTGCCTTAACCCTTTCCCCTGGTTAGGGCTCTTGACTCTTTTCCCTCCAGTATCCTAATATGCTTTCCCACTGTATCCCATCAGATCTCTCCAAGGTCCCCTCTCCCCATCGGCCCCCCAGGAAGAGCCCAACTGGAGAAGATCCCCAGTCCTTACTGTCTCTGTACAGCTGCAGCTCGCTGGAAATGGCCCACTCGGACTGCTCACCTCCGGCCACCGCTCTCACCCGTGCCCAGTAGATATCATGAATCCTGTCAAAATACAGCTCACACACACAGGAGTTTCTGCTGTTCCCCCCATAGGCACCTGCCTTGGTCCAGTTTGAGGTTCTGCCCAGGGAGAAAGCACAGGGATTGCTTCTTTTCAGCATGCTCCCAGCCCAAAGGGAGGGCAGCCCAGCCACTGCCATCCTGCCCACGTGGAAAGCGCAGGGAAGCCCCGGCATCAGCCAACAGCATCCTGGGATGTGTGAGGAGGGGCGTCCCTTCTGGGGACAGATGGCACCTGGCACTGTGCCCTGACCCGTGCTCTCCACGATGGAAAACCACACAGCTGTGGCAGGGAGAGCCCCCCAAGGAGTTGGGGCTGTTGAGGCTCTGTGCTACGAGGGAAACTGAGCGAGTGGTGACAGCTTGAGCCTCAGAGAAAGGTGACTGTGCGTGGGGGGCCTCTTACCAACACAAGAAGAAGACAGAGTCAGTGGTGCCCAGCAAAAGTACAAGAGGCAGTGGACACAAGTTGAAATACAGGAAATCCCATTTAGCATAATGGGAAAAAAACCAAATCCAAAACCCCAGTCCAAAAGTAACCCCTTAGTTTGTTACTGGGATAGTGACCAGGAAAGGGACCAAGCTGTCCAGGGGTGTTGTCCTGAAGCTGTACAAAAGCCACCAGGACACACTCCTGAGTTGACCTTGCATGTGCAGGGGTAGGACCAGCCAATCTCTGCCAATTCCACTGCTCTGTTACCCTGTGGCCTTTACTGCCAGGTAACAGTCTTCTGGCTGCCAGGGGTCCCCAACAGCCTCTGCCAGGGTGTAAGAGGACCAGACCCCTTCACCCCCTCCTCCCCACCCACCTGTTCCTCCACTCCACCTCATAGGTGGCAGAGCTGGGTGAGCTGGGGTCTGGCTCCCAGCGCAGCAAGACGTGGAAGTTCTGTGCCTCCAGCCTGACGCGCCGTGGCCTCAGTAGCGTCCCTGGGGAGGGAGCAGAGGGGTATGAGGCAGTGTCCTGCAGGGTCCCCTTGTGGCACAGATTCCTCAGCTTCATCCCAGCACGGGCAAACTCTGATTTCAAAGCAGGTGCTCAGCACCTGTATCCCCCCCAATTGGTCACACACTGAGAACACCCTCTCCACACTTCTGCCAAAGCAGAGACACAGCTGACAAAACAGGAGAGACAACACCCTGACACAGCTGCTGCTGACCCAGGGGTTTTCTTTCTCATCACTGCTTGATGACCACTTGGGCCTCTCCTCTTCACAGGTACCTTCAGTAGGTTTGAGAGGTGTCCCTGCAGCCAGCCCCCCCCAGACTGTGGTGACAGCTTCAGCACTGGCTTACCCTGGAGCAGGGAGCAGCTGGCCAGGGACAGCAGCAGGAGCAGGGCAGGGCTCATCCTACCACAGCCGTGCTGGGGGCCATGGAAAGGGATGGGTGTGCTGGAGCTGTTCTGCTACCCGCAGACATAATGTGCTGCTGGAACCTGGGAATAAAAACAGAAGCTTCAGCCAGCGACACTGCCCCATGGAGCCCACATGCCTATTGTGGCACAGAGGTGTCCACTATGGAGGGCAGGGGACCTTCTGCTGCGTTCTGGGGGTGCCACAGGGCAGGTACCCTCAGGGCTGTGGTGGTAAGTGGACCCACAGGGACAGTGGGCAGCTGCCACACTGCTATGGCACTATGCACGTGCTGCAGCAACCTTCTGTTGCACCCAACTCTGGCACCCGTGGTGAGAAGTCACACTGCCTTTGTCACCAGGATGTGGGTCTGAGAAAGCTCCTCACCTGAGGCTCACACCACTGGGGAGGTGACTCAGCCAGCTCTGGGCATGACTCACACTGGCACAACCTGTGACACCACTGCCAGGACACCCCCAGCCATCCCAGAGACTCCCCGTACGGGGAGGGCGCCCTGCGAGACATCACCCACACGGCAAAATGGGGCACAATGAGCGCTGTAAGCAGAGACTCAGACTGTGAACCACAGCACAGGCTGGTCCAGCTGGGCACCTGTACCTGGCCAGTCCCTTCTTACCTTGGTCTTGCCCTACCATTCAGCCACCAGGAATCTTGCCCTGCTCTTGCTGGTCACGGACGTAATCTTCCTCTCCTGGAGCAGATGGGCAAGGGCTTTGAGGCTACCAACACCAACCTTGTGGTTGTGGGGACACATTCCCCCATGAAGGTGGGGAGCCCAGGGCCACCTCCAGAGGCAGAGGGGTGGGAGCACCCCTGACCAGATGGGACACCAGCGGGGCTGGCTCACCACTGTCACTGCTTCTCACTCTTCCCATTTCACACCAATTTTCACCATTACAAGCGCAAGCACCTCAGCACGTGGATACAAAACACTGCCCCATGTTTTCTTTGTCCCTTGCGGGATCGAGAGCTTGAAACAAGGAGGAGCAGTCAACAAGCAGGGACATGCAGCTGCAAACTGTGGGTGAGGGCTGAGGCAAGACCTCTGAAACACCAGAGCTGAAGCACAGACAGTTGGCCTAGTCCCCCCTCGCTGAGACCAACAAGAACCCTCCTGGCCTTGCAACAGAGCCCATTGAAGGAGGCAGTATTTCTGCCCAAACGGAGAAAGAGCCTCCAGGGTTGTTCCTGGGGCTTACAGAGGCACAGAGCTGGGGAACTGATGGACACCCGAGGACTGGCTGCCTGTGCAGGCAGGGACAGGGCTGCTCTCACTGCAGAAGGCAGCACAAGGGAGGCACTGCTTCCCTGAAGCAGCAAGGGTGACTGCAGGCCAGTCCCTGCTAGCCCCCCTCTGAACCCCAGCACATCCGTTCCCCTTCTGCCATGGCCAGAGGAAAAATCCCAGCAACTCTCCCTCCATTGTGGCATTAACTGAGATTGTGGGGATTAACCCCCTCTGCTCCGCACATCCTCTCCTTTTCTGTATCCCCATCACACTACCCTGAAGCACCAGCACTCCCCCCAGCCTTGATCCAGCATTTCCTCTCTGCCCCTCTGCAGTATCAGAAACCTACCTCACCAACCACTGTTAAACACAACACCCTCAGCTCAGCAACCTCACGTGTGGCTCCGAGTGTTCACTGGAAGCGTTACCACGGTCTGCTCAGCTGCCAGGCTTCCTCCAGATGGGGGACAGTCCGTGTTGTCTGTGCCACCACGCTGGGAGGCGTGATTTGACTTGGGTGGTTTGTACCTCCTTTGCCGAGCCAGGGTTTGTTTTTTTTTTCCTTCCTTGCTTCCTCATTAGCAACGTCCCAGCTGGGCACGGGTGCTCAGCAGTGCCCTCTGCACACCAGAGCTGAGGTACAGCCTGTCCCAGCACGCCATCCCAGCACATGCACTGCCCCGGCACGGACCATCAGTGGTGTGGGGCCAGAAAGGAGCGAGGGCTCAGGCCAGGGGTAGCACATGGCAGGGCAGACACAGGTCAGGACATCCCAGCAAAACCAGTAGCAGGTTTTATCCTTGCCAAGAGCAATGCTGTGGGCTGGGCACACAGGGCTGGGCCCCCTCATTTTGCCCTGGTGACCATGAGGGACCTGCACGTGGCTCTGCACCACCTCAAGAGCTCCAGGCCTCTGGCAGCCCACTGGGACAAAACAGCTGAACTTGTGCTTCCCAAGAGCTGCACAACCCTTGCAGGACTAACAGAGCCATTGGGCAGCACTGTGGGGCTCATAAGCACCATTCAACTGTGCCCAGGGCCCAGCAGTCACTGTCGGCCTGGGCACTCCAAAACAAGAGCCCTGGAGTGGCCAAGTGCCACCCCGGGGGGCAATGCCAGCATCTCCACTGTTGTCCCTGCAACACTTCAATGGCGAGCAGTGCTGGGTAGCCCTGACACATCGCTGGCAGAAATGGGGCTGGGGCCTGGCAGGAGCTGGAAGGCAGACAGCCATGAGGAAAAGGACACATAGCCACAGTAGACTGGACAAGCTCTTTAATACCTGGCTGAATACCCGTGCTGAAATGCTCCCAGCTGTGCCTGACAGCTGCACACTGCAGAGCCCAGCATCCACCACCGCACAAAGCGCTGTTGGTGAGGCAGGCCTATGGCTCCTCCAGCCCCCCTCCCTTTTTGGTCAAAGGGTGAGGGCAAGCCTGCAGGAGACTGGGAGGACTGGGGGGGCTAGCAAGCCTGGGTGCAGCAGGCACAGTCCAGCCCTGCGGGCAGGGCCAGGCCAAGGAGGACCCCCACGCCCAGGCAGCCCCGAGGGGTGCTGCACAGCTGCCCTCCGCAATCTGGAAGCACGTCCTCTGCCCAGCTCTCACTCAGCGCTTTGAAGGCAGAAAGGTTACAGAGCTGGCCAACTCCATGGTCTGGAAAAGGTGGGTGGGTGCCCACTGCAGGCAGGGCATCCTCAGACTGTGGCACCGGGGCTCCTGAGGGGCTCGGGAAACACAGGTCTCTCCCTGACAGAGGGTGCCACAGGGATGAGGACTCGGTGGCAGTGGTCCAGCTGTTCCTGCGCTGGAGACACCACCAGCCACTCCCAGCAGGGTGCAGGGGGATGCAGAGGGAGCAGGCAGTGCCATGATGGGATCAAGCATCAGCACTTGTCACTGCCTCTGTCCCTGTCGCCCAAGGTTAACCTTCCCCTGGCAAAACCCATCCTCCAAAGGCTTTCTCCAGGTACCGGGCCACCGCCAGCGTCAAGTGGTCGTTGTAGGAGGCCGCCACCAGCTGGATGCCCAGCGGCAGCCCCTCGCGGCCCAGCCCCAGCGGGCACTGCGTCACCGGCAGGCCCAGGACGTTGAAGATGGCTGCAAGAGAGAAGGGCGGATAGATCAGAGCGAGCACAAAGACTGGGGTACAACACTGCCTGGCTCTCCCACCCTGGGCAGCCAGCTCTGCCATGCACAGCACCAAGATCCTGGGAGCTGGTGCTTCAGGCAGCAGTGCTGAGACACGGTGACAAGGGACAGCACTGGCCAGAGATTCCCAGCGCCCACATCATGCGTATAAACAGCAGCCGTGAGGGATGGCATACACTGTGGCGTGCCAAATTTGGGACATTCCTGTGCCAGCACCAGCTCTCCATCACTCCACAAAGCAAGGCAGCACTGACACCACATGGGAACCACACAAGGGGCCCCAGGCTGTACCCCAAGAGATGGCAGGTTTCAGGTTCCCGCTAAACCCCAATATCACACACAAAGTCACACCTGCCCTGCTGTGGACAGGCACCTTTGGCAAAAAGTAAAAGATGCCACGCGGTATGAAGCACGACAACCCTCACTCCAAGACAAGACACCTCTCTTTGCTGCACAGCCCACTGTCAGCAATGCAAACACTTTGGATACAACACCCCAGCTGCCACAAGGAGATCATTTTGGTAGCCCTAGCTGCAAACAGGAGTCAGGGCTGCTCACCTGTGTAAGCAAAATTGAAGGGCATGCAGATGGGGGAGTGGTGCTTGGGGGCGATGGTGGGGTGTGAGGGGTAGAGGAGCACCCCATCTGGCCCCAGCAGTGCCTCCATCTCCTCCTGTAAGCTCTTCCCCATGCTCACCAGCTTGGCCTTCCCACTGAGGTTGAGGTTCACCAGCTTCTCTGTCAGTCCCAGGGCTGCAGAAAGGGTAGAAATGGGGACAAGAGCATATGAGAGGACTGTGGTCTGTGTGGGGCAGAAACAATGCATAGCCACATGCAACACCCCCTGCTTCTGGGATGGCCCCCCAAGTACCCCTTCCTGCCAGCAGCCACAGCAGATTGCCCCTAGCACAGCTTTGTGGGCACCATTCCCCCAGCTCTGCCAAGGGACAAGCATTCAGCCTGCCCCTTCCTTCCAGCTTTTCCAGCCAGTGGGGCTGAGCAGAGCTGGCAGAACGACCCCAGCACTCATTAGACAGCAGCACAATGGGGTTAATTAGGATTCTCTAGTACCTGCTGCTATAAAACAAGATCAGTGCAGACCCTGACTGAGCCCTCTGAGCCCCAGCAGTTGTGGTGTGGCTCACAGCAGAAGTGAACCCTGCCCCCAGCTCCATCATCCTCACTTCTTCCTCCAAGGTACCCACTCCCATCTATCAAAGATACAGACTCTTGAGCTAGCCTTCAAAACTAGGCTGAAGCTGTTCAGGGCAAACCCCGAGTTCCTTCACTGGGCATTGGAAGGGCAATACCTGCTTTTAACCACCTGCCCACCCCAGCACTGCCTGTGCACTTCCCAGGGCCCCTGCCAGCATTACCGATAGCCGGGAGAGTGTGAGAAGACATCCCCACGAGCCACTTCATCAGCTCCCACAGCGGCCACACTGGCTTCCCATGGTCCCCCAGCAGGTCTGTGAATCTTTGTGCCTCCTGTAACACACCCACTCCCCCTGTCAGCAAAGCCAACATGCACAGGCTGGCAATGGACAGTGAAATTTCAGTTATCTCATCATCCCAATGTGAGGTGTTCCTGCTTTCACACAGGAGATGCCCATCAGGTGCTCCACAGCTGACACTGATCCAGGGCAGCAGCAGGAGCATTTTTCCCTCCCAGAGACAGCAAGGAGATGGAAGAGCCCCCCCAGAGCAGCACCCAACCGACACAATGCAAGGGATAATGTCCCAGAGGCATTTCCTCCTGTGATACGATGACTGGACCTAGAAGGAGGCAGAGGAGCCAGACAAGCCCTCCTTGGTGTGGTGGGGTTGGGCTGTTTCATCACTGCCTCTGTGCCAGGAATGCGTAAGTTATGACACTCCCAGAAGTTTGTTTTATTACGGAGTACTTTCCTGCATGCACAGATATAGCGCAGCAGCTGCAATGCCAGGGAAAAATTACACAAGCAGGCTCCTGCTGGAAAGCTGCTAGTCCCCTGCCTGTCTTGGCATCCCAAAGGGTGTTAATCCCAGCTTACAAGTCAGAAGACACAGCGTGGGGCAAAGAGCAAGGCAGGATGCCCCCTGCTTGGTTGACTTACCAACCTGCATGGAAAAGGTCAGTGTGCCAAAACAACCTCCCCCCTCCCAATTACCATCATTGCTCCTCTGCTGAGAGCCAGGGCCTCAACCCACAAGACAGCAAGGGAGAAGGTGCTGTGCAACTTTAGAAAGAGGTGAAAGGAGAACTGGGGGGACACATGGAGCAGGGAAAGCCCCTGGGTAGGTTTGGGAAGCCTACAGCTCTCCACAGCTGGCCCCGAACAGCTGTTTCTTCCCTGCTGCCTCCAAAGCTGTGCCTCTGCCAACTCACTCTGACACACCTGTCCCTCACTGTCCTTGGATGACATCATGGCTGACCAGATCTGGAAAGAATACTTCATCTTGTGGATTGCCACATGCTGAACCCGGACCCCAAGGTCACTTTCAAGGTGCTCCACCACCTGAAGGGAAGAGCAAGGACGGGTTGGTTTCCATAAAGATTTGACGCCTGCCATCAGCCCATGGAAACTACAGAGAAGAGAGTAAGGGGACCTACTCGCAAGATCTTCTCCTTGTGTCTTCTTTAGCCCCGAAGAAGAAAAAGTTCTTTTTATTTTTTAACCCCTGAAAGCACGGGACTGGGATGCAAGGCTGCCTCCCCAGCCCTTCATTTTGCCAGCTCCTGCAGGAGCCACACACAGAGCAGCTCTTTCCCCTCCCCAGGGCTCCTTTGACTCCTCTCCCCAGGTTCTGTACTCAGGCTCACCCCAGTGAGTACCATCCTCTGCTGCTTCCTACCTTCTTTTGGGCCTGCAAGATCTCCTTGTCCACAGGTGATACAAAAATGGACCCGCCATCATGATCCATGCAGTGGAATTTGATTTTCTCCAGCGACACTTTCTCATTCAGTTTCAGCCTGGGAAAGAAATGGTGCTTTGTCACAAATCCATCCCCAGCTCCTCTGCCGCTGCTAGAGGTTCTCACACGCTTGTTATGTGTCCTCAAGAGACCCTGCTCTGTGCCCCAGAGTGGCAAGGTGAGACTCTGAAGACACAGACACCTACTGCCCACAACACATCCAGCTGCTCACCTGCCCCCTCAGTCCCATCAAGGTTCTGTTGGGAAAGTTCCCATTTCTCCAGAAGCACCTTGTGACTACAAGCCCTGGCTGCAGCCAAGGCTGGGACTGCACAAGAGCCTGGGAAAAGGCAAAGTGGTGATGGAGAGAGCAAAAGTGTGCAGGCTGTGGCAAAAAGGAGGGGTGCTCCATGTGCCCCATCTCCGCTCTGCTCCTCACTGGCACGCAGCATGGCTGCACTTGACTGCACGGACCAAGAACTGAAGGAACTGAACTGGCCATGATGTGGGGATGGAAAACTCCTCATTCAACAACAGGAAAAAAGGTGCTGCAATATCCAGGAGCAAGGCCAGCCCTGGGAAGGGTGTATGGGACAGAGCTAGGAAGCAGCTCACTGGTGAAGGGGGACCAATCAGTCTGCCCAGGCTGCCGGTTCCTGGGAGCACGTGGGTGCTGGGAAGGGCAGTCCCAGAAGCCAAGGTCCTGCTGAAGCCAGCAGCAGAGGAAAGAAATCAGAAACAAGCAACTGGGCGGGGCGCAGACCTGTCTCCTACAAAGGCCTCATACACTGTGAGGACCACAGAGCTGCTGACTCCAGCTCAGCAGCTTGGAGCAGTGGGAACAACTCACTTGCTGACCCCAGGGCCGGCCATGACTCTCAGCACAGGCTCCAGGTCCTCTGCGTAGCGGCACATGGGCCCCGTGCACAGGTAGCTGGTGCGTACCCCCTGAGCGTTGGGGAACTGGCCGTCGTTGGGCACCACCCCTGGGAGCAGAGAAGTCAGACACTGCCCTGAGTATTGCCTCCAGACGGGGACAGCCCTGCTGGGGGGTCTTTGGGTGCACGGAGACACGGTTCCCCAGGGACTGTACACCCCACAAGTGCTGATGGCAAGGTTCACGGGGTGGGGATGGGAGGAAAAGCACCCAAGTCAGGACACTGAAGGACAGAGAAATATCCCAGCAGATCCCAACCTTGTGAAAACATCCCATGCTGAGGATGCAATACTTGGGTTAACCCCAACCTGTCTCCCATGGGCCTGGCATTCAGCCATTGGGGTTGGCTTCCAAACTGCCAACCCCAGCTGTACTTCCTCAACAGGCTTGTCCCATACAAGAAGTTACCTGACTCCTTACAGCAATCCCACCAGCAACCAACACAGAGGTGTCCTGAAGGGGTTCGTCCCACAGCCCCCATTCCACCTCATGGTGTTTCTGCTGGTGGGGAAGAGGAGGAGACCCCAGCACCCACCTTACCTGTTGTGGGTTTATGGCCAAAGACTCCATTGAAGAAGGCGGGCATTCGGATGCTGCCACCGATGTCAGAGCCCACACCTACGACTGAGCCGGCAGCTGCCAGGACACTGCCCTCCCCACCTGCACACGAGAAAACACGGCAAAACCCCACAGATTTATGGTGCAAATCATCCAGGAAAGCAGGAACACCTCACAGGGAGGGTGGGGGCCTAAAAAGCAAGAGGGGTGGGGGGACAACACCTTGGCTTTAGTGATGGGTAGGGGATAGCTGGGGTACGTGGGCCAAAGGGATTTGCCTGCCAAAGTACAACAGGACAGGCTGAAGCAATGCCAAATGAAACACCCAGAAGAGGCAAAGCAGCTAGACCTCCCAACAGCCTGCAGCAGTGCCCAGGAAAGAGGCCTGTAAGCTCCGCAAGAGCCCAGGGACACGTTAATAGCTGTGTGCAGAGACTGGAACTCTCCCTCACTGCATTTGAACCTGCCACTCATGCAGGATCGTGCCGAGGTGCTGGGGTTCACCTGAGCTGCCGCCCACAATCCTCTGCAGGTCGTAGGGGTTGTTGGTCCGCCCGTAGACCCTGTTGCTGGACTCGTACCACATGCAGAGCTCGCTGCAGTTGGTGACACCCAGCGGGATGGCACCTGCCTGCTTCAGCCGTGACACCACAGTGGCATCCGAGGTGGCGATCACATTGCGGCGGTTGACCAAGCCAGAGGTGTTGGGCATCCCTGTGGTGCCAAGGTCAATAGGAGGGAGGCATCAGGGCCAGTGCCCTGAGATGACCCAGAGCTGCAGGAAGCAGGTTACCAGTGAGGGCTGCTCCTCTGAAGCACCTCAAGCTCTGTAGCACCTGTGTGCTACAAATGAACACAAACGCAGAAGCCCAGGCAGGGCTTGGTGCAAACCAGGGAAAGGGAGACTACTTCCCTCCAAGCACCTGCCACAGCCACCCACCACTCTGGGGAGCACATCAAGAACTGGGGGCATAAAGATAAACCCACCATAAAGAGAAAAGGCCTCCTTAACGGTGATGGGAACTCCCAACAAGGGGAACTTCTCCTCCAGGCAGTCATCGCCAGGACCCTCCGCAAGCAGCTTATCGACCTGCCGGGCTTCCTGCAGGGCCTCCTCGAACCTGCAACAAAGCACCCGGCGATGTTCTGGCGCTGGATCAGAGAGGAGCGGGGTCCCCGCAGGGCGGGTGGACCCCAAGTGCGGCACAAGGAGCTTGTGGGGGAAGTGGGACTGCCTGGTCTTTGCCGGAGCCGGGAGCCGCATCCCGGCCCGGCGCTGCTGCGGTGGCGGCGCGGGGATCCCCGTGCCCCCGGCGGAGCGCAGCGGTCGGGCTGGGGCCCGAAGGGAGGCAGGCGGAGAGCCGCTGCCTCCTCGAGGGTGCCTCTGCCTCCAGCTCACCTGTCCTTAACCACGGCATTGATGAGGGGATTCACCTCCTTGATCCTCTCCACGTACGCCTCCACCACCTCCACGCACGCCACCTGGGCACGGGGCACAGCGGGTCCCGCCGTCAGTCGCGGGCGCTGCGCGGACCGAGACCGGCCGCCCGCGCTCCCCCTCCCCGGGCCGCGGGTGGTACGTGCCGCGCGCGGAGAGCGGCACCCCCGCTGCCCGCGCTCCCCCTCCCCGGGCCGCGGGTGGTACCTGCCGCGCGCGGAGCAGCTCCGCGAGGCGCCGCGCGGGCAGCAGCAGGAGCGCGCGCCGCGGCGGCGGGACGGCGCGCGGAGCGGCGCGCGCGGGGCCGGCGCGCGGCGGCGGCAGCAGCGCGAGCAGCGCGAGGCAGGCGCGCGACAGAAGCCACAGCAGCAACGCGAGACAGCGCTCCGCGCGCGACAGCGCCATGACGGCCCTGCGCGCGCCGCCCCGCCCCGCGCGGAAGTGACGTCAGGGCGACGCACCGCCGGCGTTGCCGTGGCGACCGCCCGCTGGCCAGGGGCCGCGGCGGCCCGGGCCTCCCCGGGAACGCGGCCGGGCCCGGCGGGGCGAGGAGAAGGGCGGCCTCGCCCGCCTTGTGCCTCGTGCGTGGCGCTCAGGCCCGCTCTGCCCGCCCCGGGCCGGCCCGCTCCTCGCTCCGGGACGGAGGCCACGGCTCGGGGGCGCGCTCTGCAGCTGAGCTGCGCTGGCGCCAGGTGCCAGCGGCGCTCCCGACGGGCGGCGCGTGCGGCTTAGCGACACGCGCCCCGGGCAGGGCTGCCCTGGCAGCCTCACCTGGCCGCTTGCGGCGGCAGCCCCAGGCGCCGGGCTGAGCCCAGCAGCCGCAATGCCTCGGAGCTGCCCGCGGGAATGTCCCGTGCCGGACGGGGAAGGAGACGCTTCCCTTTCCGGCAGAGGCTGCCCGTCCCCACCCAGAAGCCTGTCCTCTGGGTCAGACTGTGCAGCAAACGCTCTACTGGGTGTCTAACGTGGCTACGGGACATTAAGAACTATCAGCTTAAGGTTGACGTCAAATTATAATGTTCTTTTGCGGTACAAACACGAAGCCTCTTTCTTGAGCTTTTCCCTTATAAAATACAGCTCTTATCACACTTATTTTTAAACACGCTCTGAGGTGTTCAGATGCTTGATTATGAAAACAGGAAGAGCACTGTATGATCCTCAACACTCCAGGCAAAAGTAATGCTGGGGGAAAAAAATACTGTCTTTTAAAGCAAGGGTTTAAGCAGCATGTGAGCAGGCCTTACTGCATCTCTTTCCAATTGCCACACAGTTGGCAATTGAATTATCAGCACAAAGCAAGGCTACAAAGGGATGCATTTCTTGTGAAAATCTTTTATGACCAAATAGTCAACATATCAGCATTTATAGAACAATCTGCAACACAGACACCCTAGAAGGCCATCGGCCGACCTCTGTCCCCTAAAACCTAAGCTGACACCAAAGTCATCTTGATAGGAGTTCTTTTTTCACAATCTTATCAAGGATACTTTCTTTGCTCCCTGCCTGATGCGAGGAGAGGAGAGGAGAGGAGAGGAGAGGAGAGGAGAGGAGAGGAGAGGAGAGGAGAGGAGAGAGGAGCTGATAAGGGCTCCCTCAGAGCTCAGGAGTAAGTCAGGTGTCCTCTGTCTTCCAGAGCTAAAATAGTCAAACTCCTCTGAACTACCCTCCTAAATGTAATCTCAGCAACTTTTGTCAGGTTTTTTCCCCTCAAACTCTTAGTGGATTTGCTGTTTTCCCCCCTTCAAATCCTGCCCAAATGTTGGCAAATAGGGGTACAAACCAAAATATTTCTGTCCCGGGTCTCTGCCTGTGTTGCTGCTCTGCAGAAACCTTCCCTAAGCTCTGGCATTTTCTTTGCTGTAAAGCGTCTTCCTTAGTCTTTGTCTTTTTTCAAGAACAGAGCTTTGGAATTCACACTGGATCAGCTGCTGCACTGCTCTCTGTGAGCTCCTCTTGTCCCTGCTCTTCCCGTTGCTCACCAGTGCTGTCCCAGATAGCAGCTCAGGCTGCTCCTCCATTAGGTCAAGGTGAGGAGTTTCCTGGGAGCTGAGCAAAAAGAATGGCTGCCAGAGTTCATCATAGCCCAGTGGAGCTCGGTTTCCATGAAAAATGGAAAAAATAGGATACAAAGGTGCTCTAGAAATAAAGCAGTAAGGTCTGGAAAGCTAAGGTTGAAGTGATTTGGATTGTTTTTCAGTTACCATAACCAGCCAACCAAGCAAACACCAGTCTAGATGCACACTTAGAAGCCAGTTAATTCCAGTCTGATTGCCAAGAGCATGGAGGCTCAACAGAGTGAAGCCCACCCATTCAGAACTGTCCCACCAAGGAACACCAGTTGCTTAGAAGAAAAACATGTTTCCAGGTCTTCCACTCTGGGAGTTTATGCTTGTCATTATCCTCAGTCACTTCATTACAACCAAAGGCGTTAAAAAACACAAGAGGTTATCAAGGACACGTGGAAAGCTGGAGTGGTTCTGCTGGCTGTGTGGATGTGTTGCAAGCACTAATTGCCTGGGAAGCCATGGAACAGGCTTTGGCAGCTGAGTGGGAGGCTGGTGGGAAGAAGAGGTGTGCACTGATTGGCAATACCACAGTCTGGCTGCCTTCACAGTGTTCTCCAGAGCTCCTCTCAATCTAGTCCCTCATGCACAAAAAATACCTTTTTGGAAATTAAAAGAAGAAAAAGAACCTGATACCACAATTCTTTGTGAAAGAAGTCCTTCAAATCTTATCCTTAAAATAATGCTTCCAAAGAAACCTGGGGTTTGTGCAGCTCACGGGGGGAGTGGGAAAGGATGTTTAAAGGTTCAGGTTTAAACACAGCAACTCAGATGCTTAATTCCTAGCTGATCCCAGAAAAAAAAAAACCCTGAATGTGATGGCAGTTCCTCCAAGCCTGCCCTTAGCCAGATCCACCACGGAGGGATTCTGTGCTCTGCATTTCCATCAGCTGTCTTCTTGCATGCTGGCCCGGGATCCATAGCAGATGTTGGGTGCCCGTGCTGCTCACTCCGGGCTTTGCAGATAAAGATCTCTGACCTGACCTTGCTCTCGCTGAGCAGGGGGCCTGGTGGGACACAGGAGGTCCCCAACACCTCATTCCTGGAAGGGCAGGAGGGCACGGAAGGAATCCCATCCTGCCTGTGTGAGAACACAGCAACTGGCACTGCCAGGGTGCTGGGCTCTCTTGTACGATACTGCCATGAGATCAGCACCCACGGACGCGCGGGCAGGGCAGCTCAGGGCTCTCCCGGCCTGTCCTCGGTTCCGGCACGGCTGCGGCGGGACCGGGCCGAAGCAAGCCTTGCACAGCTGCCAGACACACTGCCGGGAAGCAGCCGGAACCTCCTGCAGCCGGGGCACAGCCTCCCTGCAGGGCAGGCTGCTGCGGCTCGGCTGTCGCGGGCCTTCCTTCTGCCGAGCACCCCGGGGTCGGGACCGTGCCACGGGAGGTCGCTCTGCCACCGCCGATCGGTGTCGCTGGCCCTGCCCCGCAGGGCCGCAGCTGTTCCCTCTGCACGGAGCCAGGGTACACTGTGTTCGCTCCGAGTCCTTGATTAAACAAAATGTTTATGCGTGCCTCTGCTCCAGAAAACATCTTGGCGGCTGCACGCAGCTTGTTTGCTGCTGCTGCTCCAGCTGCACTGGAATTGGGGCAGGGTCTGTGCGATGCTTCAGGAGCCAGCTGGCCTTCCTGGGACAGTCCCCAGCCCAGGAACACCCCCTCTGTCCCCGGTGCCTGCACTCTTCCATTGGAGGGACCTTGTCTGCTGGAGACGGCTGGGCCCCGCATCCCCTTGGTGCCAAGCGGCGCTGCTGCCCCTTTGGAAAGGCTGGGCGGGGGCATGCTTTGCTTCTTTACCCTGAAGGAGTGACACCCTCCTCACAAATCCACCACCCACTTCCCACTTAAAGCAGGGCTTTGGGGTGCATCTTGAAATTACAAGAGCAGCTAAGACATTTCCTGGGCTCCACAGTGCCTCCAGCGGAGCAGAACACTCCGACACTGTGCCTTGCCATCCGGCTGCTGCACCCACTGATGATGGCTGTGTACAGCACCATGGAGTTGGGTGGGCATAGCCAGCCCTGTCTGGGGCAACCGCAGGGGCTCCCAGGGCCTGACTGCAACTCCATGTCCCCTGCCTGTTTAGCCAGTGTCGTCCAGGATGTGCCTGCTTTCTTCCCTGGCTGAGGGGCCTGTGTCAGTTGTGCATATCTGGAGTTAACTGGGAACAGGCTGGCCCTGCTGTGTCATCTCTCAAGCATCATGCAACTGCTGGTCTGTGCCTGGAGGGCAGCCCTCAGCCAGATGTGCTGTCACCACAATTACTCTGTTGCTCCAGCTGATACCTCCAAACCCCTTGGAGGGAGTGGGCTATCTCCCTCCCCAAGCCATATACCCTGTGAGGATGGAGGAGCATGCCCTGGGTGAGTGGGGAACCAGCACGCTGAGATCATTTACAACCCTGCCAGGTGAAATCAAGGGAAGGATTCTGCAGGACTGAGAGAGGGCCAAGACCAAAGCTCACAGCTCTGTCCTTGAACTCAGGAGACCAGAAAGGAGAAGGTGTTGATGGCCACTCAGATGACATCAATCCACACCAGACTCCCAGCCTGGAGTGTTTCCCAAGAGCACAGGCTGTCAGCAGAGTGGGTTGCCCAAGCAGCTTGCGTGCCCCTGCCAGGCTCTATGCCATGGCTCTTGCGAAACGGTGTTGATAAACACTCCAGGGCATGCCAAGTCCTGCAGGATGACAGCTGATGTGCTTGGGCTGTAGTGAGTGCCAGCACAGTGAGAGGAATTTTCCACTCCTCTGTGGCAAGTGTGCCTGACCCTGGTGGGGGACTGTCCCCAGCAAGGCAGAGATTATCTGGTGTCCCAGCTGGCTTGTCAGGCTCAATAAACCCCCCATGCAAGGGCTGTCCTTAGGCACGTGGCAAAGCAAGGGGTGGTTGGGTTGCCTGGTGGCACCCTACAGGCACCCTGGGTTAGGGCTCCACCATCCCCAAGGAGACCCCACCACCCCCATTTCACCATGCATCTATGCCTGTGTCCTGGCAATGAACTGCCTCTTAGCTTCCCCTTTCCAAGCACATTGGCCAAGCTGGGTGAGCCATATGCCTCTCCATTCCCTGTCCCAAGGACTTGCTTTCCTGTCATTCTGGTCCTCTTTCCATATTCCCTGAGGGCAATGGGTGACCCTTGACAGGGCCCTCCAAGCTGCCTGGGTAAGTTCTGCCCAGATGTGTCTTCTAGCAAGCTGGAAATGCCTCAAAGACCAGCAGATTTGTGGTATGGTGTGCTCGGACCTGTGCTGGCCAATGTTTGGTAATTACCATATGAAAGCCCAATTTGATTTAACCAGTGTGTGCTGGAGCTGCAGTTCCTTTCATCCATGCTG